TGGAGAAGGACTTATTTCTTGGAAATCCAAGAAATAAGAAACGGTTTCAAGGAGCTGAGCTGAAGCTGAGTTCAGAAGCATGACAACATGTACAACTTAGTTAATTTGGTTGATAGGATTGTACAAAGAGTTGGGGGTCAAGATAACCACACCCGTGAATATGATTTGTGATAGCAAGGCAGCCATCCAGATTGCAGCTAACCCCATCTTTCATGAAAGAATAGAACATTTTGTTATTGATTGTCACTTTGTTCAAGAAAGGATTTGACATGGCATGCTGAAAACTCAACACATAAACACAAAGGACCAACTACCTGTTCTATTAACTAAAAGTTTGGGCAAGATACAACACACTAGTTTGTTGAGCGAATTTGGAATGAAGAATGTGTTTCAATAATAAAGCTTGAGGGGGAGTGTTGATCAGCTTAAGAGATTGAACAAGCTATATAGTGTGAGTTAGTTAAAGTTGTTAGAAAAATTCTAGAAGCTTCTATAGTTAGTTAAGAAGGTAGTTACAATTTTATAGTCTGTAAATAGATATTGAACTATAATTCAAATTTCACCTTTCAATGTAACAGTAAACTCATTTTCATATATGAAAGATGATTTCTTCTCCTCTTCCTTTTGGCTCTTCTCTTTGTACTTGTGTACATTCTCAATCTCTATTTATGGAGTTTTCAAAAGTTCAACTCAAGACGCTCTTTCATCATGCTAAACACAATTTTCTTTTTCCGTCAAACATGAACAACAACAAATTCATCAGAATCAACAAAGTTAGCAAATGTGTCCTACCTTTAGCTAAATCTATATTGATTTCGAGAAATTGTAGACTACGAATAACATCTTTATCTATAATTTCATTCTCTTAAAATTATAACGAGCCTATTGTCTAAGTTGTTTGTATTTCAACACAACAATACCCCTCACCTCAACTTCGCTCTTCTAATGCTGACTAAATTTCAATACAGATATTCGATCTTACTTCTACTTATCCAAAAATCCTTAACTTTCCAAAGCAATGTTCCACAACTCAAGAATTTGATTGACACTTCAAAGTTATTTCCATCAATCAATACAATATCGTTAGCAAATAGCACTTATCATGATATCTCATCTTGTAATTTGATGATCAACTTATCCATAAGTAAGTACAGGGTTCAATTTTGATCCTGTAGACAAAGTGTTATGAAAAACACCTTTCTATTTGATTTCCAACAATTGCTTTCACATTAGCGACAACTCCTCCATGCATGTCATTATGACACTTATATATTCAATACAAATTTGTAATTCTACTCCATAATCTACAGAAAAATTTTATTATGTATGAGGCATTCCATGTCACGAGGCATTGTTTGATTGATATATAGACATGAATGGGACCCATTTTGTCAAGCTAATAAAGGGACATCTTTTTAAGTCTCCTTTGTATTTTCTTAGTTTTAAATATATTATTTTCTTAACATTATTTTAATCATATCTTTTAAGAATTTATTTGTTGATCTACTTAGTTTATGCTTTTCTTTTTTTGCGAATTTTTATTCAAATTTTACGATCATTATATAAGTTTTTAGTTAGTTATTTTTAATATTATTTTTCTATTTTATGTTATTTATTCTATTATAATAAATATTTGTCTTTTTTTGTTTATAAAATCAAGATATAATAGGTTTTCTAATCCTAACAATTATTTTTATTAAAATTATAAATAAATTTTGTAAAATGCGAAAATTCATTAAAGGAATAAATTATTAAAATTATTATTTATATTTATAATTTCTTAAGAAATGTATAAGAAAATTTAATCAATAAAATGTTAATTAAATTTCACCTACCTTGAATTTTAAGAATAAAAATATCATATAAATTGACGGAAATAATATGAATTTATGTTGGTGTTTATGGATGTATTTCTTTTTCGAATTTCATGATAATAATATCAAAACTTATATAATTGTTTGTCAAGATCATTGATTTTTTTCGTTATATTTACTTTTGAAGAGTATTTGTGAATTGAAGTGTTTTTGAATTATGAAATTTTTGTGAGTAAAATAAAAGAACATATTAAATTTCTACCTTCTTTATTTTCATATTAATAATTTATTTTTTGCTCTTACAAATTTCTTAAAAATCATAAATAGAATAATATTTTACTAATTTACATCTTAACTTTTAGGTAACTTTATTAATTTATTTTACTTTTAAAAATAATTAATTGTTATAATAAAATAGAAAATTGTAATTAATTATATCTTTGAAAATTAACAAATAATTTTATATAACTATTTTTAACAATATAAATAATTAATATTAAAATGAAAATATGATATCAAAATGTTAAAAATAAAATAAGTTAGGCAAGATTTTTTGAATTTCTTTTTTTTCATGAATAAAGTTATTAAAGTATGAGATTTGGGACAATGGTTAGAAAGAAACTAAAGGAAAAAAAGTAAAAAAAAAAAAATAAGAAAGAGAGAAAAAACGTAAAAAGGAAGAGAGAGAAGAGTTTGGTCAATTGTCTGACATATATTCAGACAGTTGTTAAATATAAATGGGTCTCATAAATTGTCTGTCACAGAGTCTCATTCATGATAAAAAAAACTTCATAATCTACCAAAAGATCTTTGATCGTATCTTAGCTAAGTCAATGAATACATTACGTTTGATCTTTTCTTTTCGTGATGACTAAATTTTCGTCAATCTTCTTATAAAAAAAGATAGTGTTCATTGTATTAAATCTACGAAACATAAATTCAAATTGATTCTCTCGTCATAATCCTAAAACCTGCACAATATTACAATATTTCGTTCGCAAATTGAAAAGATTTACTTGTCAGTATTCATTAATAAATAATTTAACTTACTATAATATTCCCCTTGTTTGTGGCATTATATAGTTTCATATTGTAACTTGCATATGGACAGGTAAAGCCTTTTTTAACATTGTTAGGATGATGTAATTCCAGGAATTAAGGATGACTTCCACTATCTTAAAACAAATCATATTTCAGAGGTAGGTGGTTTTTAATAGGGGACGATTCGATGAAATCTATGACCAGAAGTCAAATTATAATAAGAGGCTTCAAAACAAATCGACTTATTATGTATGTATTAAACAAACGAGATAAACAGAAATTACTAAGTCATAAGAGTTAGGTGGATGATTTATTTAATTTGTAGAAAATCTTCATTGGAAACTAAGACATCAAACTCTTATCATGTTTTATTTTAAGATCACAAGCCAACTTAAATCAATTCTATTTATAGTAGGTACATTTTATATTACAATATTGCAAATATTTATGATCATTATATACATTATTAAATGTCTTTGAAGTTCCATACATGTGGACAGTTAACAAGTTGTTATTAATGATGAACCCATATAATTACAAAATGCAATAAATTAGAACCTAGATATGTAGTTGCAACTTGCACCTACTGAACATGAATGTGATCTTCACAAAAGTACATACACAAATGGGTAAGGAATTAAGATATCTCAGGATAAGAAGATAAACTAAACTACTTTCTTTAAATAGACAAGTACCGGAGATGGGTGGATTTTATAATCTATTGTTAGATGAAGAAAAATCTTTCATCTTACATGTTGGGTAATGCTAACATTCTGTCTATAGCAAGACTCACTAGGGGTTAAGTGGCCTAGATCGAAGTCATGATCGGACATGAAGTTTATTTGGTGGATTTAGTTAAAAAAGAAAGTTCCGTTTTTACTATTAGCAATAGCTTTTTTGACATAATGATAACCGTTTGATCCTAATATTACCGCTACAATTTAGGGATATTCATCATAATTTACAAGGGTTCACATACTCCATGTTTGGATTGTACAACCCCCTGATCTGTACTCTGTAGCATCATGCAAAGTGAACTATCTTTCCAACTAATCCTAACAATAAGTATTTCCAACTAATCCTAACAATAAGTATTTCCAACTAATGTCATAAACTATCTTTCCAACTAATCCTAACAATAAGTATTTCCAACTAATGTCATAAACTATCTTTGCTAGTAGTCCCTTTGTACTCCCTCTGTTCAAATATAAATGATTCACTTTACCTAGCCTTAAAATAGAGGTGTATTCAGGAATTTGAAAAGATACATGCATTTCTACGGGGAAAAAACAAAAAAAAATTAAGATATAAATTTGATCGTTTTGATCTTTTAATTCTTATTGCTGAACCTGCTAAACTTCTAAACATATAGCAGTATGTACTATATATGTAAGTAATTTTGTGTATGTAATCAAATATCCAATTAGGATAGTACTTCTACAAATGGATTGATCAATCTTTTTAGGGGTTGTTTGGTTACTGGTTAGAGTTATGCAGATATTAGCTTTTCAAGTATTAGCTATGTAAGATTTAGTTATTTAGATATTAATTATTCAAGGTTTAGTTATGCAAATTTAGTTAGTGGCAACCACAAAATAGTGCCACGTAGGCCGAAACGGGTAGAAAATTATTAATAAAATAAGTTCAGGGGGGTAATAGTACCTTAGTATAGTATAAGTGTCCCTGAGATTTCGGGCATAGATTGAGGGAATATTTGTACATTATCCCTAAATTATTTATGTATAGGTTTTCTTCATAGGAGCCCCCGGAGGTAGGGATAGCTGGGTCATTTGCATTTTTGCCCCTATTTTGTGGTTGGCCTTTAATTTTATCATGAACTTGTAAAAGATGAATGTTGAATCTAATTCAATCCTCACGAACTCGCTCATGAAAGGAGGATCAATGTCCAAATTCATACAAGGAGATTATGCACCCATCCCTTTTTTCTTTGATGTGGATACTTCTACCCCACCCCACGACCCATGTTGGACATTTGATGCGTGAGCAACTTAATTTAAAACCTCCAATATCGATACACAATTATTGAGATGGAACTTGCTTTGGTACCTTATAAAAAATGATATATTGTGGTTTGCTCAATTGCAAAAGCTTATGCCCCACTAGACATTAGTTCCAGAGCAAAAATTAAAATAATCAATCCATTTGAAGGGTAAAACGTGCAAATTAAGGAAATGAAATACAACCATTTGTTTATTACATTACAACACATAAACATGGATCCTCATGAATACATGCCTATTTTACTTGTTTAAGCTCTATCCATGAGAACCCTAACAAATACTACACACATGATATGACATCTTGGTTAGTGAATCATGGCACATCAATTCTTCACAACTTTAGAGCATTGCTTATTGATAAAGTCCTTAACCTCAAGAATAAGTTGTGTAGCTTCAGGAACCTCAGGGAAAATGTAGAAAGCATGCACCATAGTTGGATACTCTGAGAGGTGAACATCTTTGCCAGACCTCTTAAGCCACTCATAGTACCTCCTTTGCCAATCTTTAAGGGGATCAAAACCACCCACGACTACCACCGTTGCTGGAAATTTGTCCAGCTTTGATATGTCAACAGCCCTTGGACCGCTAACATTAATAACCTCATGATCGCGATCCATTCCTTCACCTGGTGGAATGAACGCGTTCCACATCCAATCTGTTTTTCTCACTGATATCAATGGATCAACGTCTACTAGTTTTAATTCTGACTCCGTTCGTTCCTCTCCTCCAAAAAAGGGTTGTATAGCCACCAGTCCAATTACCTAGAGCACATAATACAGTAAGGCAAACCCAGAATCAGGGGATATTGTCTGATTAGTTTAATATGAATAGATTTTGGGCAAACAGGGTATATACATTTTTAAAAGTGCCACTATTTCATACTAGTGACATTCAAAATAAATATCCAATCTGTTTTAATTTATCTGTCTTAGTCTTGCTTTACTTTACACTCCACAAATTCCATATAGTTTGTGGGCGAGGGAGAAGTCTCTAGTTAGAATCAAGCACGCAACCAACTGTGACGTGAAAAAGTGAAAAGATGGTAAGGCTTGATTGTCAAAAAGGAAGAAAAATCTGCAATAGACTCTAGTATAATTAATGATTGAGATTGGCTTCCTCACAATTTATTTTTTTTCAAAGGTACATGTCTATTTTTTTTAATTTTTTTATTTCAAAAAGACATATTTCCACCATTTAAAAAAGGATGACGTAATTTTATTTGAAATGAAATTTAAAAAAAAGAAAAAAAACTTTTTAATCTTGTGGTTTTAAATTAAAGTTATGTCAAATGTACCAAAATGTCTTTTAATCTTACGGTCATAAACATGTCACGTGGAAAGGTGTTGTGAAAAAAGGAAAGAAATTATTCTTTTTTAAACATAATAAAAAAGAAATAGGGATATTCTTTTTTTAAACGGAGGGTAATACATAAATGTATCTTTTAACTTGATAACATTTTCTAGTTGTGTCATCTAACTTTAAATGTGCACAAATATTTCACACTTGTGTGCTCCAACTTTGGGTGTGCACAAATAAACATTTTCATTATATAAAGTTGAACAAGTAGAAACGTGTGTCCTACGTATATAAGACACCACCATGTAGGATGAAAATTGTCTAAGTATGATGTCATAAGATGTGTCTCTACTTATGTAATTTTATATAAATTTAATATCTACTTAATGCACACCTAAAATTAGAGAAGATAAATATAACTTAACTTCAAACGGTAGAATTCTGTTAATGTCAATCGAACTACTTTGTGAAAAATGTGTAGAATTTCTACTTCTAAGTTCTAATCTCACTGATCTATTGAGTCCTAATTTAGCTACAAATATCACAAAATTAAAGAGAAAGAGACACAATCTTGAAAACACTAACTACTATCGTCATACGGTTCGCACTACTAAACACCAAATGAAATGAAGAATTGGTAAGCGAAGAATACAATAAAATTGGGATGGAGATGACATAAAAGACCAGGGAAAAAAAAGGAGGAATAAGGTGGAGAAAATGGCATTTCAAGTATGGCTATGGTGGAAAAGATAATTAATATAATGAAGAAAATGATTGTATGGGTATGGATTGTGGCGGAAAAAAACAATTAAAAGTGGAGGAAAATGATAGAGAAGATGATTGTGTAGGGATGGGAATGTTAATTTTTTCTTTTAATTTATTGAAACCTTTTTTAAAAACATATTTGGATAAATAATTTACCTGTCGTTTGTTCATTGGTCGCTTTTATCTATTTTTGATCCTTATTTTATATTTTTAATATGACATGACTTGAAATGACTTGGCTGTTGTCGCGATATAAATTGTAATTGTCATATTATCACTTGTCACTTATCCCACCATTTATAATTTACATTATTATTTATATTTTCATTATTATAAAATTTATTATTATTATAAATTAATTTTTATTTTAGCATTTTTTATAAATTAATTTTATTATTTTTTACAAAATTTATTACCAATTAAATTGGCCAACAAATGATGAAAAGTAATAATATTAATTTATTTTACGATCATATAATCGAGAAATGCAAGCATTGTTTGTACTAGATGTAAGGATTATATTATAGACTAGTACATTATAATTTATGTTTTTTTGTTGAATCAAAATTTAATTAATAAATGTTAGCTTTATGACCTTGTATTATGTGATTTTATAATTTTTTACTTATTTGGTATGATTTCTATAACTATATAATATTAAAAGTTCAAATTATACACATCCAAACAAATTTTCGATTTCATCAAGTAATTTATATGATAATTTCATATTGGATGGTCAAAGTGAGCCTTTACGATCTCATAGTTTATATTAATATTTCATATCTTCATTTTAAGATTTCTATCATTTTACATAACATGGTTAAGCGGACCCTTATCAGAAGAAGATTTTTTATGAAGAAAAAAACTCAAAATCACATCACAAGAAGATGTCTGAAATAAATAATGCTAACTTGAGGTAGCTATGGCCTTCATCGCAAATTAGAAAATTTTTAAAAAAAAGGACCGAAAAGTTAGGCAGTATAGTGACGTGACATGTATTGGCATGGAATATGATATGAGTAAAAGAGGGACCATACCTTCAGTGCGCCAAAGTTGGACGTCATTTCAGATGCGCGCTTAGCCACGTGATGAGCGAGGTTCCCGCCGGCACTATCTCCGGCAAGGAAGCAGCGAGATAAATCGACATTTTCCGGCAATAGCTCACGGCTCTTCTCATTGTCAAGGAACTTGAGCACATCAAAGCCATCGTCATACTGCGCAGGATACTTGTGTTCCGGAGCAAGCCGATAATTAACAGAGACAACAACAGCCGGGGTTTTCCTCGCGAAACGACGGCAAACGGCGTCGTACGCCTTCGTATCCGGGCTGAGATACACAAATCCGCCACCGTGGAAGAAGACGATGATTGGAAGTGAACTCAAATTCCGAGATTCATCGGTAGTTGGAATGAAGAGGCGAAACCAGAGATCGCGAGAAGAATCTACAGTGACGTCGTAGGATTTAACGCCGTTAACTGGATTTGGATTGGCAGAAGTTTTGAGACCAAAGATCCCGAGTAGCCGGCGGTTAACGGTGCCGTTTTGACGGCGAGAATAATCGGTAACGGTAGAGACGAAGGATAGTGCAATTCGTGTCCTCCAAGGAATTCCCGGAGATGATTTCTTCTCTTTTTGGGCCATAGATGAAGAAAGAAAAAAACGGAGAGAAATTGTAAATGTGTGCAAACAGAAAATCGGTTGTGAAGAAGCACAATAAGTAGGATTTAAGAGCCTGTTTGGCCAACAGTTGGGGAGACCAAAAAGACTTTTTTTTAAGAAAAAAAAAATTAGTAGTATTTACTTTTTTAAGAAATAAAAGTAATTGACAAATTAGTGAAACTTATTTTAAATAAAATTAGAAGCCGGATTCTTAGGTTGGTATGAAGAAAAATAGTAAAAAAATAAGTGAATTTTTTTTTTAGTTGTTTGAAAAGTAGGTAAGAAAATGTTATTTTAAAAATATTTAGATGATGTTATTTAAGTGAATAATGTAATGTTTCGAATCATCATAAATTAGGAAACGAAAAAAGTCAGGAAAGTTGGGTCTTTCAGCCTGCCAGAGTGGGTCTAATGCTACTAAGGCGACGACGCTCAAGGAGGATAAGTGGCCGACAGAAAAGGGATGGATGAGACAAAATTTAAATAACGCGGATTCTTATTTTCTCATTTTTCTTAAAACACCAAAAAGAGGATAGAATCACAACAGAAAACTTCAATAGGTTGCTCTAGGCTTGGGAATAAAGCAAAAGGATGTTTCTAGCGTAAGGGTAGCCTGAAAATTTCCTGTCAAAATCCACCCTATCTTCGTTCGAAAGCCTGGATTGGAGTCATAATCTCTCTACATCTGCTTGACGTCCAGGTTAGCTAAGTGTATTTAATTGAGTAGTTATAATTAAATTCGTGATCACTGCATAGTATATTGATAATTAATGGTAGAATTAATGTGTAGGCTTCTGTGCACCGAAAAGAGATGAGTATACATATATTCCTAGGGTTACATCAGACGTATATAGTTGGAGGAAACCCTACTACGTGAACTAACCTACGTGATGGTTTGATCTTGTTTGTGTGATATATGTTGATGATTACTTCATTGTAATGTATTTATGTATGTGAATGAAACCTTGTTGATCAAACCTAATGAAATAAGTGTGGATGATTAAATGTATTTCATGATTCACCACTTGATTGTATGATTATAAGAATGTACATATGAGTGTAATTGTGATTGTGGTTGTGCTGAATGGATTGGGTGTCATGTTCTGACACACGAACTTTAATTCGATGTCACGTTTCGGCGCATACCATTAAAATGTTCATATCTATTAGTTATTGATAATTAATGTGGACGATATGTTGCTCTAAAATGATGACCAAATTGTTGAATTGACATATGTACTTGTTATTGAGAATGTGGAGACGTACATTGTTCATGAAATGTTAATTGATTTATGCATTCTGGATTTGTGTGTTCACTACGTCGTAACGTGTTGGATATTTTGTTACTGAATGAACTGAAATGATAAGGCCCAATTGGGATGTGGTATAGTGGAGATTGAGGTCGAAGTTACTATGCATTACTTAAGGTGGGTGGTGTTCGTGTTGCAAATGTTCTCTTAAGGGGTAGAATGACTAAATTATGACCAAGACCGAAGCGAATCGGGGGTTAAAGTCAAGTGTACTATTGTGATTAAAAGTATACGAGAATGGTAGAGGTGGAGGAATAGACAGTCTTATTATATGTTTCCTACTAGTTGATTTCCCTATATTATGTGATGGTATTGGTTTAACCGATGGTACCTACCATTACGTATAGTTGTACTGATACTACTTTTGTTATGCTTTTTTGTCATAGTTTGGTTGTAGGCTCAATGAGTTTTCATAAGTGAAGATGAACACCATCTCCAACAGCTCATATTTTTCCTTCCATGTGGTGGGAGTTGCGTCATTTGTTATTATGTTGTTTTCCTTGTGAATCTTAGAAGCACTTGTACATGCTTAGACTAGATTCTTGGGGAAGTTGATTACTTTACGAGTTAACTTTGAGTGATCCAAAACTCTTATTTTATAAATCATTACATAAATTTCCTTTTTATTTGTCAGTTTTCTATATTATTTTGCACCTTTAAAATAGTTAGGATTGAGGTTTCTCCAATAAATGCGCGCACGACCCTATGACTTGGATCATGACAAATAAGAATAGGAAGCGGGAACTGAGTTCTAAGGTGGCGGGTATGTGATGATCAAGGAATTAGGGTTGTGTGTTGGTGGAGAGGGAGAGGGAGTGGGAGAAAATAATATTTGAAATGTCAAATAAAACCATTTGTTTTCTATCTCTATATGAAGAAAAAAAAGATTAAGGAACTTGATTTCTAAGAAAAAATAGTTTTCAAAAATTGAAAATGAAAAATTGAAAGCTCCCATACCAAACAAAAAAGTTATATATATATATATATATATATATATATATATATATATATATATATATATATATATATATATATATAAAAGATTCTTTTCGTCCTCTTTACCCAATACTCTTTATTTTTTGTTTTTTTTTTTGTATTTTATCTATTACTTTCTCCGTATACAAATTTATCATATTAAGCTTTTTAAAAGTCAACTTGATTTATTTTCAAAGTTAATTAGATTACATAAATTGATATTTTAAATAAAAAATTTAGATATTCAAAAATCATACGCAAAGTTATATAAATTATAATTTTTATATATAAATATGATAAAAAGAATATTGTAAAATGTTAATCAAAGTTCTTATAATTTGACTCTAAAAATAGAAATTATGTCAATTAAAAATGAACAGATGTTGTATCATTCAAAGTCTTACTTTTACCTTTGCATGTAATTTACTCTCTCTTTTTTTGTGTTTCTTTTTAGGGAAATTGTATAAAATACTTCTCAAATTATTAATTTAGATTAAATGTTATATTTATAGTTAATTTTATTCGTAATTCACAACAAACATCACTTTTTGTCATCTGACTCGATATACAATTAGTCATTTTCGTATACAATTAGTTATTTTATATATTTTAGTATAAAATGTGTTTGTATTTATATAAACGATAGAAAAGTGTATATACAAGTACAACTACATATATTTTCATCTTATATACTTATAATTATATAAGTACAAATCTTACTATACAAATTACAATGTATAAATGAAATTATATAAAACTGAACGATTTATATAAAATTGGATTTATTTAGCTAATTATACAAATCAAAAGTTCCATAGCAAACATAAAATTTTTATATGAAGCGTAATTATATAAATTATAGCTATAAAATACAAATATAAATTTTATATTTGCTATACGTAAAAGTTACTTTTTTTATATGCAATGATTTACTTTGTAGAATGATATTTATATATAAAAAATAATCTGATATTTTTTAGTATATTGAAATCTTTATGTTATTATTATATTAATATTTATATTATTCAAAGTTTTACTTTTACCTTTGCATGTAAAAAGTTTTACTCTCTTTTTTTGGCGATTCTTTTTATATGCAGTGATTTACTTTGTAAAATGATATTTAAAATCTGATATTTTTTAGTATATTGAAATATTTATGTTAATATTAATTAATATTTAATTTACCTATAGATTACATTGATTAAAAATGTATCGTATATGTACTTTTTAATTGAATAAAAGTACAAATATTATTAATATCAAATGTTGTGGTCGAGATATGCTAATATAACAACGAAAGAGTTAATTATATTATATCTCTATTCTTATTCAAATTACAAAATTTCTCAAGTTTAACAAAATTTGGATATATCCCAAAACTTTCAAACATCGTATTTCGATTCTGGATACATTGCTCCGACACATCACGTTTCAGTTTCAAATACATCACTCAAGGTCCTGATACATCGAATATGTTTAAATACATCGCATAAAGTGATGTATCAGACTTATACATTACGTAAAGTGATGTACCAGACCTCGATACATCGCGCAAAGTGATGTATACACTACAACAAAAATAACTTTTAGCTGCATAAATATTGACACTAATAAAGAGTGCTAAAGTCTTTACCGGCATTAGTTAAGTGTCATTAGAACCAATGCCACTAGAGGCTTTAGGGACATATACAAAGAGTGACAACTGCCGCTAAAAATACATATTTAATGGCAATTAAGAATTAATTGTCGCTAATGATCATTTTTGTTGTAGTGATCCGAGAATATGAGAGAGTATGAATTTTTATAATTTTTTAAATTGTGATTTTTTTTAAGAATATGGTAAAATAAATTCTATATTTTGGGCTAAAATTTTAATAAAACAACCTGATCTTATATATATAAAAGAAAGAAAACCTTGTTGAAACATTTTACATGAAAAAACAGCATAACATGACATCCATTTTACTAATTGACAACATATAGCCTCTTTTTATTTTATAAACAAAAAAAAGGTTTTTTAAATTCAAATTTTACAATTAGTAACTCATATATTGGGAAGGCTTTTTTTAATTAAATTAATAATTTTAAAAAGTGGTATCATGATATCTTTTTTTATTGAGAAGTGGTTTTTTTTTCTTCATTTTTTTCTCTTTTGTGCCATACATATATGATTCTTTTAAATTGTGTTTCTTTATTGATTATCTTCTTCATTATTATGAATAAAGATGATTTGTTTTCTTGTTTATTAGTTTTACATATTGAATTTTATAAAAAACACTTATTCATAGTTTATTTTGTCTCTTTCGCTTTCAAATTCTTGATGGTTTGTTGATATTTACCCATCAATTTCTGTACTTGTTAGCCTAAGTTTAACCCTCTTTTGTATTGTCGTTCGATTTTTTTTTTTTATGTTTTAATTTGAAATTGAAGATTATATCTAATTTAGATTTAAAAAAATTAGGTAATAGTAATTAATTGTGGGTATCAATTGTCATGTTTAAGAAACTTATCCTAGGATTATTTATAAAATTGGGATTCTGATTCTAATTTTGTGGATTCTCCATCCATAACTCTAAATTTTATAGTCATGTAAGTTCTTCTCGTTATTCGATTCAACTTGCGTGTTTTCCATTGAGCATCTTATATTTCATGTGCAATCCTCATTTTCTGAAGGAAGAATTTGAAATCTATACAATTTTTAAGAGAATGAATACACGGATATGCATACATGATCTTCCTAATTAAAAAAAAAATTCAATGCAGTGTATACATATTATGAGTGAATGACTACATAAAGTGT